CTAAATAATGAAATAAATTCTAGCTAAGAAAAACAGACTAGTTTTAAGCCTTTAAATGAACTGGTATCAAGTACATTTGCCTTGTTTTTAAGCCTTTTGTATGCTTGTTTTGAGCAATAATTGGTTAGAGGTTAATTAATTCTAAGCAATAATGACTAATAAATGAGAATACATTGCTTAAAATAAAAGAAAAAAAAGATTTTTATACTTGATTTAAGTTTTTTTGAAAGCTTACTAATTGGATATTATGTTCTTGTTTTAAGAAATCTTACCAAGTCTAATTTGCTTGATGCACTGGCAGATTATTTTGCTAAAAATAAGCAATAATTCACTTTTTTAAGTGAATTCACTATTTTTTAGAAGGCATTTTTTGTTGTGAAAAATGTGGCATGCATTTGCTTTCCGCCTGCTGTGTTCATCTAGGGACTCACATTTCAGACGGTTTATTCCAAATAGATAAAGAAAAAGTCTGTGAACAATGTTTTACAATCATATCTAAATAATTTCACCATAGCTCAGGTTTTATTTTTATTAATTAAACTCTTGAAAGGTAAAACTCTGCCTCAGCTAGTGTCAACCATGATCCCATTGACTCTGATTATCCTCCCAGTCCCTGTTAAGGGATAGCCCCACCACATGAGGCTATAGCTAAGATAATGTGCAGACCAAATCTTTCACTTCTGGTCTTTTTAACTGAAGCGTCCTCTTCATGGATTGTAGTGATGCACTACAGCTTTCTTTCAATATACTTTTAGATTTTTTTTCTCCTTCCCTATCATGTCAATTTGTTAAATTTGCGTGTTTAATTGCTACAGTTATCACAGTTTATGAGTAGGAGTGAAGATAACAACATGCTGAAGATGGTAAACAACTAGCTTTGCTGCTATTTAAAAAACATTTAACACGTAACTCAGCCACATGTTTTTTCTGACTAGACTGCAGGGCGCTGTGCAGGGCACACATGAACCATGATATCAGCGGATCAACTAGTTGGATATGAAAGAACAAAGTGATGTTGCTGCATGTTTGTTAGGAAGCAGTCTAATAAAGCTGATCTCACTATCCAAGATGCTAACGCTCAGGGAGATGAATGGGGCCAAAAGTATAAAGAGAAAATGGAGGCAAGTAGGAAACAATAGCATCATTCAATAGTGTAACATATTTTCAACCTGGGTTTTTGATTTTATCACTTTCCATTCTATATATATATATATGTATATATATATATATATATA